TGGTGCATTCTGGGGGTTTATATCCACAGGCCAGGGGTCTGTCACCAGAGGTGGCCCTCAGGGTGCCTGAAAACACAAACCGAAGCGGCTTAGTTCAGGCAGCAGAGTGACCTGCCAGTCAAACCAGTAACTGACAAGACAAGTTTGACTTTCACACTGGTGTGACACGTTCACATGCAGCTGTCTTCTGATTTCTTCTTTTCCCCTGCTACAGATCGGTGTGTGTGTGTGTGTGTGTGTGTATGTGTGTGTATATATATATATATTCAGGGTTGCCAATTTTGGCTGCCTGGCTGTAGTGAGATTTTCAATTTGAAAGACGTCTGCACACACATGCAAACATGTTTAGATGTATGTAAGAGTTTCATTACCTTGTAAATTGTCTGTAGGTTTTGCAAACTACCCAAACACTTTTAATGTATTTTAGGATTATAATAGAATAACATAAATTGCCCCAAGATTTCTTGTGTGAGCGTGAGAGTCTGAAAGCGTGTGATATCAGATGTGTGACAGCTGGCAGCCCTATATTTTCTATGTTTAAGAGCATTGTTTCGTCATACCCAGTGTATATAGTACTGTATATGCTGCTTATGAAAGGCAGATACATGGCGAGTTCTTATCCATTTGTTATGTTTGTAATTCTGAGCATTATGATTTTTGTCTCATTAATAGCAGATTTCTGAGGTACCGGCTCTGAAAGCTGTTAAATGAAAGTGTGTTTTAGTGTGTTTGAGGCTCAATGCGCTGACTTCCCCATTCAGACACTCTTTATGATGCTAATGAGCCTTCGGTGTGGCATACGGGCTACGCAGACGCCAGCCGCGAGACGGTGAGAGAGACGCTGCCGGATCTCAGCCGACGCTGAGGTGTGAGCGCTAGGGCTGGTGCAGTGGGGGCGCTCAGGGGCCCCCGGCATCGGCGACAGTCACACGGAGACGGACGGCGTACAGGCCCACACGGCCTGCGATAAAGCTGCCACATGTCAGCCGCAGTTTAGAGCCCGATTCCGTTTTATGTGAGCGATATAAGCTTTTAGCGTCCGTCAGGAGAACGGGAGACCCCAGCAAGAAAGTGAGGGGAACTGAAGCAATTTTAGTCTTTGCTTTTTCATTTTTTCCTTATTTATTAATAGCACTTCTAAGTTGCAGTTAGAACATCAGACAAAGGTTGAGACAAGTGTATTAATGGTTTTATTTCGAACCATCTTCAAAACTGCAAAATTGTCACTGTTGGAAAAAAAACATGATTATTGAGACTTTGTAAATCTGAGGCTAATAACTCATCCATTTTCCAGCATATTGTACTTCTTCTTCATTCCTTCAATAATAATAATTATAATACCAATAATAATAATGATAATGTAGCAAGCATGTAGTTTTTATATAGTTACTGTCGCCTGCCTTTATTAGCCCCTACATGGTGTTCATTCACTTCTCCATCCCATAATGCAATTTGGCAATTAGTGAAAGCTGTCCTGAATCAGGACTGGATTCACATATAATTAAAGGGAGGCTGAAAGCAGGATACCATGATTACTGATGAACTGTTTCCCATCCCAGGCTGTCCGTCGCCCTGACATGGGTTAGACACGATAAATCCAAAGTGATCACTTTGCACCTCATATAAATAAGTAGCATAGTTATCAGATGCATGTCTGACATTATGCCAAAAACCGCTTATTCGTGAGTATGAGGGACCAAATGAGCGAAGCCGTGAGCTGGAGCATCGAGCGGCTCTTATTGTCATTGTCGCCGTCACTTTAGAGGGACAGTAACAATAATGGCAGATGGTTTGAGCCGTGCGATCCGTCTGTGTGGTGCATAAGGATCTGCAGATACTCAGAATTATGGGAAATGTCGCAGTGTAAGGTGATGTGGTGCAGGTGGCGCCTAATTCCCTCCTTGTGAGGAAGCTCGTCGTTGGGAGTGTCCAGACCGCACCCCCGTCCACGATGCCGCCACCGTCCCGCCGGCCATTCTCCGGCTCAGCCCGGCAACCGCGATCTCCCAGCCTGGGCTGTGCGATCAAATGCGAAACCCTCGCGATCGGCAGGGAGACAGATGCCATGTCCAGATGGCCGCACGGCGACACCTTGGGCAGATCCCATGTTTGCCAGCACAACAGAACGGCATCAAGCGAAGCCTTTCCACCAGGTGGTCCCAAACAGAGCCGTAGAGGGACCGCCAATCTTAGCTGAGAGGCCCGAGTCCCCCTACTGACGGGGCCTTTCAGAAACAGCGGCGTCATGCATGCTTCAGGAGGCTGATCTGCTTCGCACACGTGTGATGTATGATGGTTGTCTTGCTTTCCGGTTCAGTTGTCAGACATGTGACCTTGGACAGTGGGTACACAGTTCAGTCGTCTTTCTTTCCAGTCCGGTTGATATGCGTGTGGCATGCGACCATATTCAGCGGGTACACGGTTTGGTCACTCTGTTTTCCAGTGTGGCTGACACGCATGTAACCTGTGATCATATGCAGTGAATACACGGTTTGGTCATCGTGTTTTCTGGTCTGGCTGACATGCATTGGCCTGGGAATGTGTACAGCGGGTATATGGTTTGGTTGTCCTGCTGTCTGGTCTGACTAACATATATGTGGCCTGTGACCGTATACAAGAGGTCTATACTTTAGTCATTCTGCTTTCCAGTCTGACTGGAACAAAGAGGGTTTTGGACAGGAAGCCTTTTAGCAACTTCTGGAGGATTATGGGAAGGGAAATATAGGGAACTGGGGAGGGGGTGGTTGTTACTGCGCTCCCATCCCAAAAATACAGCGAATTGATTGCGCAGCTTCAAGCACTGGCTGCCCATAGCTGAAAAACACCAAAAACACTTCATTCTTATAGACTGAGGGACAGACATGTGCATAGCCATGTGAAATACTGAACATTTAATTTTGTGGCGTAATTCAGTCTGTATATGACTCATAGAACTCTCAGCGGAGATCTGGTTTACGTGTGACACGCCGTGCGACATGTGACACAGCAGTACGAGGTCACCATCACTTTGCGGCTTCGTGCAGGCCTGCTGACAGACGCTACTCTTCCAGAAACTGCTGCTGGTCTCCTTATACGTGGAAAGAGTGACATCTAGTGGTTTCAGATGGTCCGGGGACAAGGCGAGCCAGTCACTCCGAGTGGATTTCAGGGGCAGTGTGCAGTCATTCTGTATTGATGCTGTCTGTACAGGAGCAGGAGCTATTAAAAAGGATCAATCTGTGTGTAAAACGTGAGGCATGTAACATAGGCCTGAAAGGCGGAGCCTAAGCTGTTGTAACATAGGCCTGAAAGGCGGAGCCTAAGCTGTTGTAACATAGGCCTGAAAGGCGGAGCCTAAGCAGTGAGGCGTGCTCCAAGGGGCTGGAAGCTGCCGACTGCCCTGATTCTCTGGGGTCGTCATGGTGACCTCCAGCTACTTCATGTTCATGTTTGATGTTGGGGTTTGGAATCTGAAGCTGGATTTTTCACTTTGACTCCAGTGAGTCAGAAACCCATCGATGATCCAAATGTTTGCGGCTCACAGCCCGAGCGACGAGCAAACACGCATTTTGTTTACGGTGGTTTTTTTCCTGTGCTCTTAATGTCATACCTCAGCAAAGTAATGTGTTTGTGTGGGTGTTTATCTGCTGGGAAACAGCCAGCGGGAAAATAATTCCGGGACGGGGACTGGGTGCCGGTGACTTTAATTGCCTTTTAACGCGAGGAAACGTTCTGGATTAAATGTAACACGAAGAAGCCGGCCATGTTCTTCGCTTCCCTTTTCGATGAGTGGGATCCACCTCTCCTGTGCCCCCCAGACCGATGGTCAGGTCGCCGGCTGGTGTACGTAAACGTGCATAACCCTACGCACGTGTGGTGTTTACACACTGACGCAGGAACTCTGACAGTCTCTGTTCCCGGAGTATTGACCCAGCCAGCTTATTTAGCTGTGGGGGGGGGGGGACTTTTTTCCCTCAGTTTTAATTTGAGAATCACCTTATGCTTCTCTGAGAGAGAGTTCTGGGCAAATGCCTTTTTACCACATATTTTAGTGCATTTTTCAGGTGGTTTCTTAAATTTCTGTACAAGTGCATTTTAAATAAGCATTCATCACCAGTGCCAAAGGACGTAAGCCCCACTGAGGCCTCGTGTGATGAATTTTTTATTGCGGTAACGCAGGGAGGAGGAGCGGTGTTTAATTACCAGGGCCGTGCGCGGGGTGCTGCGCTGATGGCTTCCTGCAAGTGCCCGGGCCCCAGTCTCCTCTTATTATTCTCCTTAATTCCTCCTTTGTTTTAGGAGCAGGCCGCCATCCTCCCTGCGTTTATCAGGTGCTCCGCAGCTCCGGGCCGCACAATGGCAGCGCCGTCCCCGAATCGCTGGCTGGCGCACAAAGGAAGCTCGGTGTGAATCCGACGCGAGCGGCCGGGCGGCCGCAGAGCACGTGTGAATGCACGGCAGCCTCGGAAATCAGGGAAGCCAAGCTCTGAGATGATAAAGAGCAACAGCTAGTGTGAACCAAGGAGCGTCCTAAAATACACCTAGAAATGGGAAGGCAGTCGTGAAATCTAGCAGCCTTTCCTTACACCCAGAAGAAGAGGGCGTAAAACTGAACATCCAACACTGCAGAATATTATTATTATTATTATTATTATTATTATTATTATTACATATCTGTGTATATGATCACTGTTTTGTACTCTGGATAATAAACATTTGTTCAAAGTGGGTGACCTTGCCCTTGCAATCTGCGTGGTTTTGTTTAAAACATGGTAATTCACGTCAACAATAAAAGCTTGAAACCACGGAAAACACCCCACAGTACGACACAGTCAGGACGGGGTTTCAGTCTTAAGTGGGTCTCTGGAATTTTCCACCGTCGTCGTTCATTTCGTGCGGCATTCATCTCGGGCTCTTATTCAGTGTTTACATGTTTATCCCATGATAGTTTTTACTCTGAAAGCTGCAAACAAACAGCAGAAAAAAAGGTTTTTTTTTTCCCTCCACCCTCATGTTGCCAGGTGGACAGCTTTGGTGCACGACCACCAAGCCCGTGGTTCCGGGTGACGACGTGGTGGCTTTCGCCGTGGATCTGGACTCCCAGGTCCGAGCGGTGAGCCAGGTGCCCCCAGCGGAGGGGATGTACCCGGCGCGCTTGCTGGACTCCATACAGCTCCTGCCACAGCAGGCCGCCATGGCGTCAATCCTGCCCACCGCCGTCGTCAACAGTGAGCACATTTCCTTAACCCTTTCCTCGCATCTCCGGGTCTCTCGGGATCGCATCTCAGTTCAGCGGAAAAGGCCGGAAGCTGAGGTCATCCCACTCTGGGTCACTTTTGGTACTTAAAGGACTTCCGTTACCCAGAAACAGAGCTGGATATATGAGACGTATGTCACTCAGGTGGCCTGCCGTATTACGCGCGTGTCTCCAGCCCACGCATTGCTGTACACCAGCTCCTTTTGGTCCATTTGGAAAGTATTAAAAGCAGCGCAGTGCTCCCACAGCTCCCACTACAGGCTTTACATGGTGCCACATGACAGACTGGACCGGCCTGTTAAGATACTGCCTTATTAGGATCGTCACCCAACCGTAAACTCCTCACTCTGCCAGGTCGCGTAATCTCAGAATGTAACAGCAGCCCGTTTACACAGCAACTGAAAGCTCAGTAGATTTTGGGATTTGGTAAATTACTTAATAACAGCGATTCCAGGCTTTTGGTGGGGGTGGGGGGTGGGGGGAGGGGTTATGCTCAAACTGCTGGATAATTGTAGGTTTAGGATTCACTTAATCGCAGAGAATTCTTAACCGTGCTCGAGCTTAGCAACACCTTTATGGGCTTGGCTACGTCTCTTTCTGCTTGCTAATTCGACACCATGGCTGTGCCGTGACACTGTGCCCTTTGACCCCTGACCCCACAGAGGACATCTTCCCTTGCAAGGCGTGTGGCATCTGGTATCGGAGCGAGAGGAACCTGCAGGCTCACCTGATGTACTACTGCAGCGGCCGGCAGAGGGAGGGTGCGGGAGCAGCCGGGGAGGGGGAGGGCAGCCCGCTCCATGTGGCTAGCATGGCTAACGTGGCTAACATCTGCCCCTTCCCACAATGCAACAAGAGGTGTTCGGGGACTCAGGCCCTGGAGATGCACCTGTCCACACACAGCGGTGAGAGACAGTCTGAAAGACGACCCTCAGACCTGCATCTTACACTGTCCATCTAACCAAGTTACTCTTAAAAAGTTGTGACATGCGGTTATATAAAACTGATTTTAGTTCTTTATATACCCTGTGTTTTTGCACATTTATGCAGCACTATGGGGACTATTCCACCATAAATCAAGAGCTCTTTACTCGTATATATAATCTTGAACTGAAAAATAAACCCATCTTTCATTTGTTCACAGGTGTCAAACTGGATGAGCCGGCCCCCCTTGGCACCACCCTAAGATGCACAATCTGTAGATACACCGCGGACTCTGCCGTCGCTCTCCAGCACCACATCCTCTCTCACCTGTCGCAGGCGGCCTTCCGCTGCTCCCACTGCCATATCAGCTTCCAGAACCACGGGGAGTTCCTGCAGCATCAGGACGCGCACCGGCTCGGCGCAGCCAAGCTTCACGGGGGGAGCGAGGGCCAGCACTCCCCCGGCTCCCGCGAGGAGAGCCAGAAGCAGGCGGGCGCCGAGCCGGCGGGCAAGCACGACGCCCTCCAGAGTCCCAGGAGCGTACAGAATGAGGACGCGGGGGCCGGCGCCGAGCTGGAGAGGCCCGAGAAGAAGGCCGCGATCTCCGGCTCAAAGGGGGACGCAGGCACAGGCAGCAAGGCGAGCTTTTCCTACACCCGGATCAAATCAGAGCCCTCAAGCCCTCGGCTGGCCTCCTCGCCGGTCCAGCCCAACATGGGGCCCACATTCCCCATGGGGCCTTTCCTCTCCCAGTTTGCGTTTTCGCAAGACCTTTCCATGGCGCCACAGGCCTCAGAGATCTTGGCAAAGATGTCGGAGCTGGTACACCGGAGGTTACGGCATGGGAGGAACAGCTACCCGCCGATGGTCTACAGCCCCCTGATGCCCAAAGGAGCCACGTGCTTCGAGTGCAATATCACTTTCAACAATCTGGACAATTACCTGGTCCACAAAAAACATTACTGCAACAGTCGTTGGCAGCAGTTAACAAAGTCGCATGACTATTCCAGTGTCCCAGACAAGGCGGTGGAGACACTGAGCCCAAACAGCAAGATGGGCCCTGGCCACCCATCCGAATCTGACGGCCACCTGATGCAATCAGCCTGTCTGAACGCCTCCGTGTTGGACCTGATCAGTGCCGGCAGCAAAGTGCCTGAAAAGGAATTCTCAGGGCAACTGAAAAAGGCCTCCACACCCCCCGGGGCTGAAGACAGTCCGAACAGCCAGCAGACAGACTTGAGGAGTCCGAACCCCTCCCTGGTGGAGAACGAAAACGACCCTTCGAGGACGACGTGCGAGGCCTGTAAGATCACCTTCAGCCGCCATGAAACCTACATGGTCCACAAGCAGTACTACTGTGCCACTCGACACGACCCGCCTACGAAGCGGGCTTGCGCAAGCAAGGTGCCGCCCGTGCCGAGGACCATGAGGTCACGCAAGCGGAGGAAGATGACTGAGCTCAGCCCCCCCGATCAAGACTCCAAGCCTCCTGGGGCTCACTCTGGTCTGTTGGGCCTGCCCGCTTTGGGAAACCCCTGCACCTCCCAAGAGGTGATAGACAATCTCGGTGAACGGTTTTACCCACGATGCAACATGTTCCCAGGAATGGTCCCAAAACATCTGGAAGCTTCTCTCACAAAACTGGTTCTTGCATCCAAGTGCAACACAGTCAACCAGCAGGAAACAGACACTCCCATAGATCTCAGCAAAAAGTGTCTGGAGAAAACAGGCAGCTCCCCCAAGAGACTCTTAGACTATCACGAATGCACAGTGTGTAAGATTAGTTTTAACAAAGTAGAGAGCTACCTTGCTCACAAGCAGAATTTCTGCCCTGTCACATCTGTACAGCCTGATGACATTAGTGGGTTGGATAAGGCGATGTTTCCAGATGTGAAAAATGGAAGCAGTGGTTTTGACAATATCTTCAGCAAGAGCCCCGCAAAGTGTGATAAAACCACAAGTGGACGACTGCTCTCCCAAAACGGCACCTTCTTTCACTCCAATTTAGGGACCCTGTCAGGGCTCCAGACCCCTGCTGATCTCCAGCTACTTCACGCTAAAGACGACGGCAAAAACTTATTCCTGCCCCATTGCTTCTATCCCCGAGAAACCAAGAAAGCCAACACACCGGAGAGAATCTCCCCATTTTATGGCGTTAAACCCACTGACTACATCAATGGGACTCTGGTCGGGGCGGGTGAGCCGAAAGAGCAGAAGCAGAGTCCCAACGAAGGGAGCGAGGGAGGGAAGGAGCAGCCGGCCCCCAACGGCTTCGCCCACCCCGGAGAGGAGCCGCTGTCCCTGCTACCCAAGAGCAGAGACACAGCCGCAAGCGTCAACGGCAGCACGAAGCTGGAGGATGCCGCCTCGCCAAACGAGGACCAGCCCGATGACTCCCAAGCCACGGACAGCCGCTGCTCTCCCTCTTGGACGTCCGAGACCCCCACGGACACGGAGAGCTCGCCCTCGCGGAAGACGCGGACGGAGAAGACGTCCCCGAAAACGCCGAACAGCACGGCATCCGCTGGCGGCGGAGGAGGGAAGTACTGTCACCTCTGTAACATTCAGTTCAACAGCCTGTCAAACTTCATCACGCATAAGAAGTTCTACTGCTCATCACGGCCAGCAGAACACGTGAAGTAAATCATGCCCCCCCCCCACCCCACCCCCCAACGGGCTGCACCTCTGTCCCGTTTGCTGCTGATGGACAATCAACAGAAACCTGTCTTAAGACTTAATGCACGGCACTGGGAAAATCCTGTAACATAGATGGCACTTCCGCATTTATTTATTTAAAAGAAAACAAGTACCAATCAATCGATGTAGTGATCCTAATTTAAAGCAGGATGGAGTCTGTATCATAACCGTTTGTAATGTTCTTGTGCAGTTAACATTGTTTACATTGTAATATAGGTTCGATTAGGCACACAGAATGAGATGCATTTAGATGAAATTAGCACTTGTACAGACCAGTTTGCTGTTTCCCTGTCCTCTTCTGATTTTTATATATGCTGAAGTAATATTTGAATTGAATTCCTATTTTCCCAGGCCTCTATTGATGGAGCAAATCAAACACTGGCCCATCTGTTACCAGTCAGCTGGCCTGTATGTATGTATGTATGTATGTACTGTGAATGTTTGTTCCTGTCCCTGTTCATTAACTCAGAGGAGTCTGTTTTTATGCAAACAGCTACACACTTGTACAGTATGTGAATTCCTGTTAGCTAAATTTTTTAGAGCCGTGCTTCAAACAAACAATAGAGACAGTATTACCTAAGCACTCGGCGGGGGCAGGAGTTGGGGGAACATTAATTTTATTCAAATTTTCACGATGAATTGCTACGTTGTGGTTCAGGGCTTGGGAGGGACTGAACGACACTGAGTCATTCCAATTCCCCAAATACGAAGGAAAATCTTTGTTGAAATATCATTGCTATGCATGTAAATGGAAGGAATAATACTTCAGAATTGTTGGACATTTTAATTTGGTTGTGATGTCATGATTAAACTTCAGTCCTCAGGTCAATGGTGTGCTGTGTTTTCATTTTCCGGAGTAGCATAAGTTTCAAGTGTCGATTTATTTGCCATGTGTATGTGAACACAGGGTCAACTTTACAATGAAAATGTGTTGGACTGTAACTTTGATGTTGCAGAATGCTGTGGAGTTGTGGGTTTATACGGTCAAAATGTTCACAGAATATCTACAGAGGATTGAAAAGGATAAGAAGGTTTGTGGTCTCTGCAATCATCATGCCCAAGAATCTCAAATTTCAAAGCTTATATTTAGAATCATAAATATCAAGTTAAGAAATGAATCGTTGCTAATAAAATGAACTTCAAGAACGGCTCCCTTGGTTGTCAAAAGCTGAAATGAACCTAGGGGCGACTGAAGGGAAACTGTGTCCTTGGCAATGACATCACTGCCCCGGTTTCGGCCTAGGAGAGGGGATTATGGGATGTCATCCATGACCCTGGGAATTTACAGTAGCAGGTGAGGGAGGATGGGGAGCAGTGGGATGAATTAGCAGATAAAGATGGCAGTGAGTCACCGTGTCCACAAGAGCGTCCACCCCATTTCAAAACCAAATTTTATTTCAGTGAAGTGAAAAGGCTCAAATTAAGGAAGTGATTAAATGAATTTAGGCTGCAGGCCTTTCTACACTCTGACTTTCTGGCTGGATTAGTTAAAGCCGGCTGGCTTCTCCATTAATTTGCTCCCAATTCTCTGACTTGGCGGAGGGAACTTTCTCCCTGTTAATTCAAGTCACTGTCACACATTTTATTTAATTTTATTATACTTCCAGAGTCTTAAGACCATCAAGGTCACTGATACTAACAGCAGAACACACCAAAACTTGTGTGAGTAATTTTTTTATCTCATTCTAAGAGATGCTCTTTTCCATTTCAACAGTATAAAACCGCATTAATCAGTTATATCTGTATTAAATTTCTGCCCTGAAAAGGTTTTGTTTTTCTGCAACAGATATGCTTATTATATATATATTCTCTATTTTATATTGAATACAATGTTATATCAAATATATACACATGTAATAATATAAAAATATATATGTATAGATGTGAACAAATATTTTATTTGCTTATGCTGAGAGGTTTCGAGATTAAGGAAATCAGTGTCTGAATACATTGCGTGTATGTAGGTATTTAAAATGACTGTGCTACCTGTGACCACTAGGTGGCAGCCGAAGACTGTTCCCTTTTACGTATACTAGATGAACACAGACTTTAAAAATCCTTCATTAAAGAAAGCAGAAATTAATAAAGGTATTTCTGAGAACATGCATTATTCACATCACATTCTCTGACTGGACAGTTAATTCATGAATGACACAGGGTTGCGTCGCTCGTAGTGCTGTCGTTCGCCGCTGATGTGGGCGTGGCCACTACAGATGGAGATCCAGGCTTCATCAGTGCTGCGGGGGAGCTCATTGGCCAAAGCCCTGCAAACCAAGCGCACTTATAATGTTCTTATAAGTATTACTTGCATTCAGGGTAAAGGCCTTACCCAAAACATTTGCTCTAATCTCCCTGTTAACATTCCACATCTAAAACCCGTTGTGTCGTTATGGACAGTGCTTTGAGAGACACGATTATTAAATTAATGAAACATTTTAAGCAATGAAGGTCTGGTCAAACAGATTTCTCTGGTTTCGCACTGTTGATCGTGTTGCATAGTGTAACGCTGGTCTCAACATCAAATTAAGTCACGTGTGCTTATTACACAACACGAGGAGAATGTGCAAACTTCACAAGATTCGAAGCTTGAACCCCAGCAGTGCGAGGTGGCAGTAGGACCCCCAGGGCTTTTTTATTGCCCTAATACAGACTCACAACCTCCCCCCCCCCCAAAAAAAAAAAAAAAAGTTGCTTGAGAACGCTGGATTCACTTATCACTGATGAGTGCTTTCATCCTCAGTATTAAGCGATCTGTCTATTGTGATGTGTTTGCTAGTAAAAATAATGATGTCTGTGGGAGTGGAGAGCCACGTGACGCCTCTACATCATGGTTAGAGGTTCTGAGGTCCCTTTCTTTTGATCTGTAATGGTACTGAAGACTCACCGGCAGTGCAGCTGGGATGTCCCTTTCCTGTCACCTTCCCTATACCTGTCAGCCGCGAGATTCACCTGTCACACGGAGACGGCGATGAAGAAAAGTGCTAAAGCCAGGTAACGAGGCCCTGTGAGGCGTTCAGCCTCCCATCATCTCTCTCCACGCTCAGTGCTGAGCGCAAATCCTGTCATGCGTGTGCTTCCCAGAAGATAAAACTGCCATTAGAATTCCTTCAGAGGGCCTGGAGGGGGGATCAAAGGACCGAATGAAGAGGGGAACAGGAGCTACAGTGAGGTGAAGAAGCACTGCAGGCCAACCACACTAGGGGAGCTGGATTACACGTAGAGCTGGGTTACACGTAAAGCTCAAGGTTCAAATTCAAGCTTTATTTGTCACATACATAGTCATGCACTGTACATCCATGCAGTGAAATGCTTTAAACCCCCTGGAGTGTGAGATGTGGAACAGAGACCTTCTGATCATGAGCACAGCTTCCTAACCTGCTGAGCCACACACACACACACACAGCCCAATGTGTTTTTTATCTAGAACTGGACTACACATTGACCTGGATTACACATAGAGTTCGATTACACGTAGAAGTGGGAGTTTTACTTACACAAAAATATTCTGAGGGCAGAATAAAAAAGGATTTGTTTTAGAGAGATAGGCAACTAGAGGAGATGGGATGAACCAATCAGATATCTTGCTACTTGTTGGACCCACCTCCTCTACAATCTGATTCGATATCTGTTTGAACCAGGCATTTTTGGGTTACGCATGTATTACATGTAGATTTGGGTTACGCATAGACCTGAATTACATGTAGAGTTTTTTTTTTTTTTTTTTTAATTTGTCTGTATAATGTTCACTGCTGGACTTGGTCTGCAAAGGTGGAAACGAGACGTGTCTACAAACCCAATGTAGTTCATGCCATTTCCAGGCAGGGCGCCTTATCTGCACGCGTGCTTTACTGCGGCGATTTCGGGAAACAGGAACGCCGGCGTAGCAGTTTGTGCTCCCGCAGGTAAATCGTTCCTCTTCACTTTTAAGTCCCCATAAAATTCTCCCCTGAGACATGAGAAACTGATTTTGTAGGATGTAACAATTAATTTGTGGCTGAGCCAAAGCTTAATGAGATGTTCTTTGAAGTGTAAATCCCTTCAACATGAAGAGATATGCCCAGCAAGACGAGCTACCTCTAGGTGAAGCTGCACTTCGCGGCTGCTCCTCCCCCAGCGTCTGCAGAAGGTACGAATCATTTTGTGTTGCTCTACATTCTGTGACACACAGCTATTGTTAAACATTTAAAATGAAACTCAATGGGAAGCATTTGTTTTTCGGTACAAATAAACAATATTAATAAACAGTTTTAACAAGCACAACTCATTTTTCAGAATTTCATGGTACAAATATTCTTTGCATTATGGAATGAAATTCAGGGGAATTCATTAGGGATTTTCAATGTCTGAACTTAAAATGTGGCTCCTTCATAAATATTACATAGGACACCACACAGCACTTAGTGAGACAGACAGCCTGCTTTACACATTCTGACTTAATAAAATTATAATTATGAATGTATTATCATTTACAGGCCTCTGAAAAATAATCTGTCAAAATAAAGCCCATCTTCCCTCTTAAAAAGCATTTTTAAGATGATTTAATGAGTGGGTATCTGAAGCTAATCTGTTTGCCATTAAAGTGTAATCACTGCGAATGTGAATTTGCTATGCTAATGGATGCACGGCTGTGATTTGGATGTCGCTGTGTCGCACTCCACATGGTGCGGTCAGCTGTCGCTCCGCCCCGTCCTGCCCGCGCACCAGACATCAGCGTTGGGTCTGCTTCTTAGTTGCTTGTGAAGACCTAAATAACCAATAGTATCTATTACCTGCAATAGAAGGTGTGTCGGTACAACAGTGGGGGACACCAGAGTGTAGGAATCTAATTCCTGTGCACAGATGGGTCTCCGTACTGTAGAGTAAACCAGAATAAACCAAACCACTAGAGAAAACCAGAGTAAACCAAGATCCCAGCTTTCTTTGGTCAGCAGAAGACTGCATGGCACTGAAATGCAGAAGGTGGTGGCGTTAATATTGTAGAAAATTGAGTCACGAATTCATCCAACAACGGGAAAAAGTAATTATGACTTCTACAACTGGCAGGGTGAGCTGTTCCCTGAGAGTCTGCGATAGCACACTTCATTGTGGGGACTCTCAACCATACATGGCAGTAAATTGCCTTTTTAGCCGAAGCTTCCAAGGAAAAATGGACCAATGACCAGCTTCATAAAATGCCACCAGTCTATGAGAAGGGTGAGGATCCCCATAACGCTGCATGTTTCAAAACGCGGCACTGCTGTTACAAACCGCACAAGTGCCGCTCTCTAACTGAGTACTTAGGGGATTCATCACAATGTGCTAGAAACATCTCATTCTCCTTATTTTATGGGGATTCCAATGCGGCATACAACTTAAATTGTTACATTCTTCTTTGTTTTCGGGACGGGCCAGTGTGCGGCTCAGTGAATGGCATTTTATGCCTGTAAATGGAAGGTTGCTGATTGAAACCCATGGATCAGTCAATGGGGTGATTTCATCCCTGAGCTCTTAACCCCCCCAATAGCTCCACAGACTGGCTGGTCCTGCTTTCTCAAAAAAAGGTGTGTTGCTTTAAATAAAGCTGCCTGCTACATATATGTAAACATTTTTTATACTGCCAGGAAGAATTTTTAATCGGGTGTATATTGATTGAATGATCATCTCAGTTGTTCATTCAGTTAATAAATAATGTTTCATTTGAAACATAGAGGTCAGAGAGGTGATGTCATATCGAATCTGATACTTTCGACACCAACTTGCAACTAATCTATCTGACAGAAATTCATTATAGGAAACAGATTTCACTGAGACTGGGCAAAATATCAGCAGAGAGCACTGGTTTTACTTGTT